ACCCGACCTGAGTCGTTGCCATCCCTAGATAAGTATCGTTCAACAATCTTTATTTTGGAAAAACTCTACAAGACACAGTCCGGCCAAAGGACCGCATCGCCAAGATAGAACTGTTAGGGTTCAACTTTTATTTGTAATACATATATGTAAACATCGAATGAAAATTAAAATAGTCGTTTACTTTGTTTAAAAAAGCAAGAATATAAACTTTGATCAAAATGTTACAGCATTTAGGTCAAGAGTCACCTTTTATAAGATTAAATTTAATTGTTTTAAAAAGAACGTACCATTCATATTCATGAAGACCACTGAGGAGAAAATCAAGGGTAATTAATATTGTCCAGATGGTTGGTGAACCAGAGGCACATTTGGATGTATAAATTTAATAATGAAAGTGGTGTGATAGGGCTGCAGCTCTATCAAAACAAGTAAGGCCTCACTCATAACTCATCGCTAAATGCAATTCAAGCATTAAAAAATCTTTACATCTATCATCTTGGTTTGAATGTCATGATTGTAAAAAGAAAAAAGATTTCAAGCTCTAAAACTAATGTATATTGTTACAAATTATCTAAATCGTCTATTTCACCTTAAAAACAAGTATTCATATATCCCTAAGATTTGTAGTTTCAAATTTGTATTGAAAATTGATTTTATGTTGAAAGTACTTTTTGGTCAAGGATTTGAGGTGAGGGTTCATTTTCTTTTTATAAAGCCCGGGCTTTAAAGAAACCTCATCCACTTAATAAAGTGAAAACCAATTGTCTTTTCCATATTTTTTATTTTATTTATTTATTGACTTTTTAAATGCTTTAAATTACTCACCCAAACGAGTGTACTAACTTGATGCTTCCAGGTTAACTCCATTAATGACATGTAGCATGGATAGGGCATTGGGAGGAATCTAAACTAAAGTCATGAAAGTTCCATTCAAGAATTTAGTCATACCATTAAAAAGAAAAAAAAAAGCTATGACCTAAAGGCTAGGTCATGGTCCTATCTTATAAAATTTTTTGACTGGTATGAAATGGACGCTTTCTAAAATTGACAATTGAGGACTTTAGAGTAATTTTCAAAGGTTCTAGGTAGCTACCCTTGACTTTAGTAATCACAACCAGCGCTCTAGTCTTGAGTGTGGGTGGCACCGGGCCGTGCCTTAGCCCTGTTATGACCCTTGTCCCTATTAGGGCTGGGCTGGGCTGGGCCAAAACAAATGAATAGGAATTAAAGAAAACTAAGAAAAAAAAGGGTTGGGCTCGACCGAACCCGGTCGGCACTGGCCTGAGCCCAGCCCTCAGGCCATAGTTTGTGGCCTAGGACCCGACTTTTTTTCAGCTGGGCTGGACCGCCTAGCCCATTGTCAGCCATGCCCTTCAGATTTTGGTATTTTGAAATATTTTGTCATTTTATGACGCTAATATTCCACTTAGTTTTAGAAATAAGTTGGGTGGGAATCCTTCACTGACCCTAATATTCAATTAGTCCTATAAATAACAGAAAGTATAAAATAAAGCTATTTATATTTGGCACACGAAATGCTCACGATTAGATCACAATTATCCTTATCTGATAAATTGAAACTTAGGTGCTGACATATTTTATTAATACCCAAATTATAAGGAAATAGTTTTCAATTGATGATGGTAAAATCTTGTATCCGAAGGAACCAATTTTATAGTGTAAAGTAAATAAATTTGACACATTTTAATTTTTTTTAATATATAACTTGATGAATCTTCACCTGAAATTTGTAATCTTAGCCGTTCGTTCAACTCATTCCCCATTTTAATATGAAGTGATGAAAAAAAAACAGCAAAGAAATTGAGCTAAGAATCAAGTCAAAAGATTATATGTTCTTGTAGGAATATATTGTCCATTCCTTCTTTCGATTAAAACATATATTGGGGCATTTTTAGGTTAGCAAAATTTGAGATCTAAACTCTTATACCTAGTGACCAACCTAAAATTTAAATATAGTCAATATGTGATTAAGACAAATACTATCCTAATATTGAATAGAGAATGTCCAATTTTTGGACAGTAAGTTTTAAGTATTGGGAAAAGTTTATGTACTTTCCCTACAGCATAGAAGATCTGTGCTCCCCCAACCATCCAGCCGTCCAATTTTGATCAAGAGAGCCACTCACCATTTGATCTTAGATCCGACGTTTCAAAGTATTTTATTATTAGTTTTTTTTATGCAAATTGTAAGAATATGAAATTTCGTACCTTCCATCTTCTCATTGGGGTGCACGTATAAAAAATAGTTGAAACAATTCTTAGTTAAATTATATTAACCAAAATACCTCCTAAAACTTTAAAAGGTATTTTGGCCATTTTATTTTATTAGAAATATTTTTTTTATATTTCTAGCTAGTGCAAGTTTAATGAAGGATTGGATGTACAAAATTTGGTGCCAAAATAGTTTATAAAATTACAAATAAAATAGTGTAAGGCTTGAATCTGTGATTGGGGCAATCTTAACCCTCCATTCAGAATGGACGGTTGGATAAGGGGAAGTATAAAAGTTTTATGTTGTAAAAGAAACATAAAAAGCTTGCCCTTGAGTATGTATACAATCTAAAATTTAAAAACAGTCATTAAAAGAGCTGCTATATGGACCAATGGAGTATGTATACGATCTGTTCTACTGGTTATAATTGGACAAAGCAAGAAGATCATGGTCACACAAATTTCTCATGATGCTTTTTCATTCTCATTTATTTTGTTTTTAGGTTAATTAACCATTATTTTTCTCCATTACCCCGCTAAAAAGAATAGACAAAATTACTCTAAAATATATTTTATTTAACATTATTTAAATTTTACAATATTTTACTATTATTACATCTATACCCTGTTTATTTTGTGATACCAAAATTGCCAATATTTCAGATCTTAAAAATCTAAGATCAATAAAAATGCAAGACCCTCGATGGAAAAGATTATAGTCTTCTATTTTTTTTTTCCCCTCACACAAATTTTTTGGATTTTCAATAGTGGAATGTAATATTCATACAAGATCCTCGGAGGGAAAGTGCAATTTTCAGATTCTGAAAATCCAAAAATTTAATTTCTTAAGAGATTTTGGATTTTTGAATTCCAAATTGGTTGCTAAAATGCAAATTTCGGATTTTCAAAATCCAAATATTTAATTTTCATATAAATTTTAGATTTTTACAATGCAAAAATGCTAGGGAATGTTAAAATGAAAATTTTTGAATGTTGAACATCCAAAAGTGGGCAATTTGATCATTTAAAATTTTATGCGAGGTATCATTGCAGAGCGGGCAGAAAGCATGCATAGGTGTAATAACAAAAAAAAAAAATAATAACTATAAGATTTTTTTTTTAAAAAAACTGATATATACGTAATTTTATGAAAGTAATGGCATTTCACAAAGAGCCACCACATCATCTCATATTGCCACCCCAAAAAACAAGAGCGGTAGTACCAAACATTCAAACAGGCCACATTTTAAATGACCTACAAATGTTTTGGGTTGGAATAGCAAAGGTACAGTGATCTCAATAATGCATACTCACCCAACTAGGGGTATTCCTCTAGGTTGGGTTTTCTTAAGCAGGTCAAACTCCTAAAAATTTATTAAATTAACCTTGCTGATTCTTGATCTCATCCTTGATACATGCATTTTAGGATTTTTAGAATATTTTTGATGATGTACTTGAGTGAAACAAAAAAAAGCATAGAGTATACCCTCTAGTATAAATTGAGATGCCTTTAAATAAGTTTTTATTAAATCTCAAATGTTTTGATAGAAAATTTATGGAAATACACAAAACTTATTAAATTTGGACAAACTTTCTATACTTCTCGTAATGTACAAAACTTTTATCGTCCCCCATATCTAACCGTCAATTCCGAGTAGATAGTTGAGATGGCCCTAATCACAATATCACGCTTCTATAATATTTTATTTTTTAATTTTTCTATAAATTATTTTGACATCAAAATTTGGGTATCCACTCTTCTCTTACACTCGCACCTGAAATATAAAAAAATATTTTAAATAAAATAAAAAGGTGTGGTTTCTATAAGGTTGCAACCTTAAACAATCCAATTAAGGTGCACCTCCAAATTTTATTATAACATGTAATTTTGGTTTAAAAAGTTCTTAGAATTATCTCAAAATTTATTTTCATATCTAATTATAAAATTTTAAATTCAAGAAATAGTTAAAATCAAGTAGATCTATAAACATATGAAAATCTTGAAAATGGACGGTCTAGATAATGTGTTGCAAGATGTACTATTTCTCGGACTTAAAATCGTTTTTTATTTATATTCAAACATTTTGTTGTCAAGATGATCAATTAGAGAGTTTTTCAACATTAAAACAATATTTTTCGATAGATTTTTGAGATGCATCTGTAATTCTACATTTTAAATTTGCAACTTTACATAATTTTTTTTCAAAATAAAATATAACTAAAATGCTTCTAAAAGTTTTAAAGATATATGATTATTTTATTTTATCAAAAATAATTTTAATATTATTTTTAGGTACACCAAATTTCATATTCATATAATTTATAAAGTTAAATTAAAAATAATATACTATTAAAAAATGAGATGCAAGGGGAAAGTCCAGAACTTCCCGAGATGCATAGAAATCTTTCCCGTGAAAAATATCGTGTCTGAAAACACTTTCATGGAACGTTCCGGGGCAATTGCTATTCGCACTCAATATTTTATTCCATTCCACAATAGCATCTAGCTATGTAAAGGGTTCTTATAGCAAAACAAAGCAGTGCAAATAGTAATTTTCTTTTGTATCGGGGTTAGAAAGCGACCTGAATCATGTTCTTTTTTTTCCACAAGGAAAGGACTGCACCAGTTACGTCGACCAGTTCTACACGTCTCTCCAAAATCAACCACACACTCTCTCTCTTCTTCTCTATCTACAAATACCACTTCTCTCTCTACAAATACCACTTCTCTCTCTCCTTTTCTCTCTCTACAAATACCACCTCTCTCCTTTTCTCTCTCTACAAATACCTCCTCTCTCCTTTTCTCTCTCCACAAATACCATATCTCTCTCTCTTGCTCTCTCTGTAAGACATTTCCATAAATCCGAATTCACCTGTGTTTTTAAGGGATGGAGACGGGGAGTTTGCCAAGTAAGCAACGTTTTTCTCACTCTTCTGGTATTGTGCGGGCTTCCTGTAAACGTCGTCACGCTCGAGGAAAAAAAAGACTAAAAAAGTCTATTATAATTGCTGGGTCAAGTACGGATAAACTGTAAATAAATTATTTTTTGTACGATTTGTTGCATGCTATAAAAGTCAGAGCTCTCATATCCTTGAAGCTTCGTATCTCTGGATCTTCGTATATTGATGACACGAGTAGTAGTGAGCTCAGAATTATGGTTACTTCTTTCATGGAGGAATCTGGTTTTTGTGAACAATTTGCATTTAAGGAGGCTCTGTTGTGGTGGTTTTCTGATACTATGAAGTTCAATTGATGGACAAGCTTCAGAGCTAGGTATTCCTTGAACAGATTGGAAGTACGATGCCTTTCTTTTCTTTTCTTTTATTTAGGAATTGTTTACTGGCTCTTCTCTGTCATTCTTGCTTCGTGAACTTAAATACATTTATGGTATGAATTTGTGACTGTTTGGGGCCATTTTTTGTCTCGATTTCTGGTTGCGATGAAAAATTTGTTGCTTTTCTGATATTTTAGCTTGCTATGGATTTTAATTGAAGGAGAAATTCCAAGTATGATGTTGTCATCTTCTTATCAGTTATAGCATTTTTCCTTTTATTTTTTTCTAGTTCTAGTTCTTTTTCTCTTTCTTATTTTTAGAAAATGTTTTATGGAACTCGAATCGAACTTGAATCTTTTTCAGTGTGGGTTGATGACTTTAAGGGCCATTTGTGTGTTGCAAAATTGTAAAAAGGCGTTGAATTCTACGTGTTTATATGTTGAAATGTAGTAAGCAATTGCCTTCTTTATGATTTTTTCTTTTCTCCATTTTGAATCTAGTTAAGAGCAATTCCCTAGAAGTTATGTGAGATGTTTGCTACTTTCGAGCTCTCTCTCCCAGATTAAGATTACTCTAATATATTCAAAATTTATACATATTTGTCTTCTGTATCTTCATGTATTAACTTGATTTCAGTAATAGATGTAGAGATCATCGATCAATAGATGAACAGTTTCTTGATTGTCTTCATGTTGTATAAGAAAAATTAATGAGAAATCTTTCAATTTATCCTTCATGTAAAATTTTTCAGTACTTTTGAACAAGGGTCAATTCTCTTCTTTTATTATTTTAAGACTGCTTGTGGTGATAATTCATGGAACTACGTAGAGATGTCTGTTTATATTTGTTTAATTTGTGTATTAATTCCTTAAAATGGGACTCAAAGTTCACGTAAGACTCAATGGATTTTTCCTTCGCTATTTGACTTGGCGAGCTCACTTGTGCTGACAGAGTCAATCAACTTTGTTTGTGTTTATAAATACTCGTGTTTATAAATACTGTTAAACAGAGGTATAATCTGTGCAGGTAAAAGGTTTCACAAAAAGGTGTACTCGCATGCACATAAAAACTTTGCCAATATTGCCAATATAGAAGAAGGAAAGGGAAGCTAGGGAAACTTTGCTGAACAATGGCATGAAGATAGGAAGAATAAGCTGTGCACATAAGAAGGGTTACAAATGATAAAGATTCACACAAGCATAACAAAAGTAAGGAAGGATTTATAAATAATTCTCGAGTGAGCAATATATGAAAAAATGTGGTCATATGAAAATTAACTTGAAGTGCTAAGAAGAAATAAGAGAATTTACATGGTTTTAAGATTGATTCAGCATCTTCCTCTGATAAAACCTTTCAAAACGTGAGAAGAGAGGTATAGTAGCATACATAGGCTCAAGATGTATAGATAATTCTCAAGGGAGACATGTATGAATAAAGATGATCACATGAAAATTAACTTGAAGTGTAAGAAGAAACAAGAGAATGTACATAGTTCTAAGATTGATGCAGCATCTTGCACTGATGAAACCTTTCGAACTTCTTGGTGATAAGAGAGGTATAGAAGTAGACATAGGCTGAAAGAGAGGAAGTCCCAGGCCTTCGGGAATAAATGTTACTTTAGTATTTTGTTGGCAATTTCATATATGATTTTTATGGGCTGTCTGATTCTGCTGTCTCTCTGTTGGGTTATTCCTTTGAAATTGGAGACTGTGGGGTCCAATAGCCAGTTTAGTCTTTGTTTTTTGAACCTGTTTATGCTTGGGTCCTTTATCTCATAAAGGAATTGCATTCAAAGTGTGAGCCACTTCTGTCTCATCAGATGCATGTTATACTATTTTTCATATAGTGATCTACGTTTGTGTGTTAACTTGAGCTTGTTCTGTGTGCTACTAACCATGTTCTCTGTTAGAATGAATGTCACTCTTAGCATACAGCCTATTGTATAATAACAATTCCGGTAAGCATGTTACACGGATGCTGTTAGTTAAAATACACAGTGTTTTGGAAAGTGATACTGACGATTCTTTGATTTTCCTTTGATTATATGGGCATAATTTTCATATTTCTGTCTTCTATGCAGTTTCAGGTTGTTACTGCTTCGTGTCAAAAAAAAACAAAAAAGAGTCCTACAATTGCATGATTAATGGCTTTTCACAATAAAGATGAACTTCCCATGTTGGATACTCGCATTGAGGTACTTAATGATGGCGGTTTTGACCGTGAGAGGAAACGGTTTAGTCTCAGCAGATGTGTGTCATTCTCTGTGGATGCTACCCCAACTCCCAATAGCAACGAATATGTTCCTATGTTCCATACCGGGCCTTTGAGAAGTTCAAGAAAAAATCCATATTTACGTTCACGTGATCTTATACATACTCTTCGTGATAATGAAGGTTCACAGGGAACTTCCAGATCAAATGCAGTACAAGCAATAGAATTTCCGAATGATAATGGAAAGACACAAGAGAGTGACAAGGAAAAGCTAGATAATAGCTATGATGGGAAGAATGAGCATCTTCTGAGGTCTGGGCCTTTGGGAAGGTGCAATGATCCATTTTGCACAACATGTCCTTCATATTATAATATTAAAGCAACAACCCAGAGATGGCCGTATTCTTCTTCAAAATTCGAACTTAAGGTTATTTTCTTCACGTTGAAAGGCTAGAGTATTTGATGTTGTGTGGCCTCATTGAATAATTGTTTGAAATTGGGTGTTATTGACTTTAGCATGTCGTGTTCTTGTGCCCTACTTGGCCATGCATTAAGAACAAATAGTGTAAAAGATAGAAACTTTTGCTGGCTAATTTATGCGGCCATTTTGGAATCCTTACTTCAACTAACATGCAGGTCTGACTTGTATTTGTACGTTGATTTCATAAAGAACTGTTTTATGTATGCTGCAGCTCATATTTCCTACTTTGAAGTTGCATAAGCCTTTCATTCTACTTGCATTATTCATTTGCATGGGTGTATGTGGTTGTGCAGTTTGTTATGCATTTTGTTTTTAGAGAAGTAAGCTATCGTAATGCATTGTTATCTTTACTGTGGTCTTTCTTGATCATCATCATCAGATAACATAGATTCACGATTCATGGAAAGTTATTTGACAAAGTTTAACGTTGGCTGCCTACTACTATATTCTTTTTTGACGATTACTTTAATTAGGAAAGAAAAGAATCAAATTGTACAACTTACATTTCTCTTAAGTTCAGAAAACATATCAATGGGCCCGTGGATGACCAATCGCTTTATTTTCTATAAGCATATGTTATCATAAATTGCCCCAGTCACTATTTGACACAACTAATGGTCCAATATTCAGGATACCCATCATCAATCTCACTTGACTAATGCACTATTTATTGTATGCATAGAATCAAAGTATTGTTATTAATGCAAAATTGATGTCATTGGGTCTATGGGAGACATATGGTGTGGGATTCGCTCATGGCACACCATAGAAACTGCATCACACACATGGTTAGCCATTGGAGTTGATAACCATCTGCATTTTCAGCAAATTGAGAATTCCTGTGGCTCAGTATTGACTCTTGGCAGATCACATACATGAATATACACTGGGAAATAATTTGATTAACACTCTCATGAAGATAGAACATGAGTGAAAATTAGATTGCCATTAATGAAATGGTCCAACAGGCCAAGCAAGTATATAGAGAAAAAGAACTGTCTATTTGAACTGCAATTTCCTATACAGCTCTAACCTTGTCCCAAAGGGTATCCACATTGTTCCTTATAATTTTCCAAACCCTAAAAAGATTTCCCCTCATTCATTTGCACTCCCAAATCTCTGTATCGTCCTAAGGATTCACATATAAGCTTTCATGTTTTGGACTTACCTTTAATTCTTTTTAAGTATTTCAACAATTTCCATTTGGGTTGTGCATAAACATGATGGTGGGTCATGACCTCTGATTGTGTGGCCATATTATGAGCTTGAAATTCTTCTAGTGTTCCATGGACTTGAAGTTTTCACTTTATGTGAACTTACAAAGTTTTACATATCTTTGACTATTGAAGATTCTTACCCTTTAATATTCATATCCTTGATCTTGTCTACAGTTCGATTCTGCACTTTATGGGGATGCTAAAGGCTGGATCAGGAGATCATTCTCTGACTTAAGTTCTAAAATTCCTGGCGTAATGAATCCACACTCCAAGTTCGTTCAACAATGGAACAAATTTTTTGTTGTTTGTTGCTTCATTGCGATTTTTGTGGACCCATTATTCTTCGTACTTCTATGGGTGCAAAAGGTATGTTACAGTTTCTGTTTGGGTTGAAAGGATATCATTCTCCTTGAAGATAACAGTGGCACCTTTCAAAACACTGCCCATAAGAACCTTATGGTTGAGTTTCTTTGGAGCACGATGACTAGCCTCTGTTTGAATGAGACAGATGTGATGACTATACATACACCATTTTTATTTTCAATCACATAATGACTATGTCTTTGTATGTGCAGGCCATGTACATAATACTACTATAATGTTCATGTCTTGGTAAAATATTACATATGCAACAATAAATAAACATACAGCGTATATCTTATAATACATTTTAAAGGAAATTAGCAAGGGTGATGATATGAAGGTATTGTACTGATTCAGAACAGCATGGTTGTTCTCAATTACTTCTTGTAGATAAGATAGTGGATTAGGTATTGTTAGTCTGCTTCCTCTTTATCTTCTTTCTTCTTTTCCTGTAACAGGACTACAACTGTATGGTTCTTGATTGGTCCTTAGCAACCGCAATTGCTGTTGTGAGAAGTTTCACAGATTTCAGCTATTTCTTACACATGCTTCTCCAGGTAGGTTCTCTTTGTTTGAAAGTTCTTTGAAGCTTACGCTTTTCTTCTTTTCAAATGTAGCAAAAGTGTAATTTCTGGACAGATTAATTGCTCCTGTGAGAGCAAAATGTGCATTTGCTCGCTTGGGTAAAACCCTAGACATGAGCATTTTTACAACCCCAAATTTTGGGGATGTGACCTACTTGACCTATGGACCAGTGTTTTATGACACAGATCGATGTAGTAGATCACTCGCCCACTGATGACAAACCAGTTTGGCTGAATCGATGATCCAGATCATCTGGATCGACTATCTGGAGAAAAAAACAAATTGGGTCAAATCACTTGAATGGCCACATTGGTTGGACCTTGTGCTTAAGAAGAGTTTGGGGTTGGAATTCCCCCTCTTATGGTTTCAAATTTCCCCTACATTGTTTTTGATGTTCAAAATGGCTCTTTAAAGGAAGAGCTCTGTAACAAAAGAGTGCCTGCTGGGGGGTTCGAACCTCAAATCTTTCCAAGGAATTCGAGCCCTGTATCTTTCATAGGAAAACTGCATAGACCAGCCAACTAAGCTATACAAGCTTACTTGTCTTATTATTACATATTATATCACATATAATAATTAAATAGGCCATTTAAGGTTAGTTGTCTTATTATTACATTTTATATCATCAGCATCAAAAAGCCTTTTCCTAATTAATTGTGGTCAGCTACATGAATCCTTGAAAGAATCACTCGTAAGTAGTCTTTTTACAATAAATCAACTTCAAATAAAAGAAATAAATCTAGGATCTCGAAACATGATACCATTCAAAACCTCACTTTTCATTAACAAATTTTCATTAACAAAGAAAAGACACAACCTATGCTTGGGAATAAAGAAAACAAAAAGTAAATAAATAAGAAACAAAAGAGGGTGCTGGAGATTATCTCAAATAGGCTTCTTACACCCCACACCAAGTCACCACCTTCCGATTGCGCGGGATCTAATGCTCAACCTTCAATCTCTACGGGAAAAACATGCTTTGGACAAGCACACCAATGAAACATGAACTCCTTTGATCACAAACTCAAACCTTAGGTGAACCTCTTTGATAACCTAGTTTGAGAGATGCTTCTCGTTCTATCAAACCCTAAAAACCCAGCCCTAATGTGAGATGAGAGACGGAAGAGATGAGACAACCACCATGAGAGCCCCTTAGGGTTTAGTTGAGGGTGAAAGAGAGTTTCCAAGATGAGAGAGTTTCTATGAGAGAGAGAGAATCTTCTTCTAAGTGGGGCGTGGCCCCAATTTATTTTTTGCACAAGAGAGAGAGAGAGAGAAATCATCTATTAGGGGCGTGCCCCTCTATTGTATATTGGAGAGAGAAGAGAGAGACTTTAGTTGCGTAAGAGATATGGTGTAGAGAATATTGGGTAGGGTCTATCCCTTTTTATAGTGCATATTTAGGGTTTCTTAGGGTTTTCCTTGCCTTGCTACTCATGAGAGATTGAATATGCACCATTGATCTTGGGTGACTTGTGGGGTGAGAGATATGAGCGGTCTATTCCATAGATAGGCCATCAATATCTTATGTAAGGTGCTAAAACCATTATCCTCCACTGCCTAAACCATTTTCTCATCAATTAATTAAAATAAAAAATTAATATAAGATAATATCATCTTTTCTTATTTCATGCATAAGCCTTCTCATACATACGAAAAATTTTATTCAAAATTTCTTCAAGGCTTAAGCTTTCTTAAAACAACACTTTCTTTTCTCTCTAGCTTTAGAGTTTGAACAACAAAATAGAAAGCCACCTAGGTGGGTCGTGCCACCCTTTGTGGCACATAATAGGCACCACCTAATTTGCTATGGTGGGCCCATAAGTCCTATTGGGCTACCCATGCAATTATACTATTTTTTTATTTAAAAAAAATATAAAATCATTATTTAAATATTTAAATCAATATAAAATCAATATCGTTGTTTTTATAAATCCAAATTTGATAAATAAAATATCCAAAGATTTAGAAAAATTCAAATAACAATTCTAAAAATCATACATTATTAAAATAAACAAATTAAATACTATGATGAGAAAAAGATCCATATGGTCTAGGAATAAATGTGCACTGAGGCACTTCACTTCCAACTATGGGCTATGGACCACACATGCTTTCTCAAACCGACTCAGCATTGCCCATGACCCACAATCCCTGCAGGGGATCATTAGTGGGTCACCAAAGTCTAGCCAATGGGCAAGGGGTCGCAATTCCAGTCTATGGATTTCAGGTTTTCCCCTGGAGACGAAACTAATGTCATCTTGACTTGATGTAATCCATTGCTCTATGGTGCACGGGTGTTATCTCTCGCACATGCACACGCTTCACCCTGAAAGGTGATTCACTTTCTCGAAAACGACTACCAATGTGTATGCTGTGTGATGGTATGCGGATGAGGCTTTGGTCCCGTCTCTGAATGCCTCCATCACACACAAGGGTCATGCAGTCTTTCGACTCACTCTTTCGGGCATACTCTGACCTCATCAAGGGATGACCCGTCTGACACTTATCTACTTGTTTCTCTATGCCCAGGTAATATGGGTTTTTCCCAACTAGACTGACCTAGCACGTTAAGCACAATCCAGTATTAGCAAACGTCGTTTGCTTAGTATGGTCCACATGGGACCACACTCCCACTGAGTTAATGTTCCACTATATAATTCATTTACAAGCACTCATAAGGCCTTTAGTGGCCACACACACCCAACAATCCTGGTCCGTCATTTTGCTCTATTAAGGGCCACCCCCTCAGTGAGGCCATAATCCCCATATCTTTTCTCACTACTTCCAACCATGTCCTTCTGAGCCTACCCCTTGCCGTTTTTAAGCCTTCCACTTGAACTAACTCGCACCTTCTAACAGGTGTTGTATTGGGTCTGCGCCACACATGGTCAGCCCACCAAAGTCTACTATTGGTGTTATTGTCTTTCCACTCATCCATCTCAACATTGTCATCTTCGCTAAATTCATTCTATGGGTATATTGTTTTTATTATTACATATTATATACATATTCTAATTGAATCTTCGATTTTGACCGAGAATCGGCATAGTCACAGGCCATTTCCTATATGGATCGGCGAATTTTAATACATTGCCACTGATGAACCTACAAAAAATTTCAATATGAACTCTGAAACTGCATGAAAACATCATTCATTAGGATTGCACATAGACCATCCAAAAATCTAGGTGTATAAGTACTGAAAATCCTTTATCTTTTTTTTTTTTTAATACTTATCGGGTGATAAAGCGGATCTCAGAATTCAGATCATGAAAGTCCTCCTAAGTAGGGGTGGCAACGGGTCGGTTCGGGTCTGGGTTCGGCTAAACCCAGACCTGACGGAACCTGATTGGATCCGGACCCAACTGGACCCGATTGGACCCAACCCTAAATTAAAAAAAATGTATAAATTTAAATATATTTAAATGTTATATTGAATGTATACATGAATTATTTAAAGGGTGAGGTTGGTATAAGGTGTTAACCTTATACTATTGAAGGTGCACCTCAAAACTATGCCATTGAAGGTGCACCTCAAAACTATGATGAAAATGCAGTTTTGGTGACGCAAAGCGTTGCGATGATATGGAAATCTATTATTACCCCCAATTATGAAATTTAAAGTTCCAGAAATGGTGAGATCAAGCTGATCTTTAAACACTTGAAAATCTTGTAAAGGGATAGTCCAGATAATATGTTAGAAGATTAGCTATTTTTAGAACCGGAAATCCCCTTTTATCTTGTCTATGAATCTCGAGATCGAGATGATCGATTTGAGGGTTTTCTAGCATAGGAACAACATTCTCCAATAGGTTTCTAGTTGCACCTTACTCGTACAGTATAAGGTTGATGCCTTATATAATTTTTTTTCCATATTTAAATATTATAACTAAAAATATGTAGTTATATTTATTTAAATAATATCACTATTCCGGTCTGGTCCAGAAGGACCCAGACTCGAATAGTGTTTAGGTCCAAGTTTTGGATCTGGACCCAACCTGTCGGGTCCAATTTTTGAACCCATACCCAGACCAGGGTTGGGTCGGGTCGGGTAGGGTCCCGGGTCAAGTCCGGGTCTATTGCCACCCCAACTCCTAAGTAGGTCATTTGCCCGATGGAATAACTACAAATTTTGCTCCCATTGGAGCATAGTATACGTGCCTATATAATTTGTTAGTTTGCTAATTGTTGAGATATATGCCGAATATGTGCAACATTATTTGTTAAGTGAATGGAATTTAATTCACATTGTCACATAGAAACAATCTTCAAATGCCCAAACTTGCTTAATGAGACAGAAAAGAAGAATTACATGACAGTGCAAATAGAACAAATTATCCACTGGAATTGTGCATGCACATCTAGTACCCTCTTTCTTTGGATAGATTTTCCAACTCTTAATTGGGTTTCTCTTTTCATTGTTTGAGATGATGTAGTAATTGGGGATGGCAATATCTAACACCTTTTTTTATGTCTAATAAAATTATTTTCTCCTCTATTTGATGGTTTGTTATACTGGGTTCTAGTGGAGTTTCAAAACCATTTCTGCTCTGAATTGTAGTACGAAGATGCCATCTTTGGTAGTTGAGTTCTACTATGGGCTTTTTTGCCTTGCATGAGATGTGCATTTATATTTTAGTGATATTTTTTTTTATATGCGCTAACTGAGTAATTGACATTATGTTAGCTAATTTTAATGATTGATAAAAAGCATGTATTTACAAACTCTTCACTTGTTAGGACAAGAAATATTTTTGGGGCGCTAACTTCTCTTATGCCTTTTAATAAACGGGGGAATGAAGTAAATGGTTTACTGGTTTACACATTGTTGTTTCTTGAACCTTTAATATTTCTGTGAATCACACATGTCCTAAATATTATCTTTTGGGTTTGCTTGAAGAACTGCAGTTTATTTTGACAGCTGACTTGGGCCTGCCCGGAGCGAGCTAGCTCGGCAATTTCCAAGTTGACTAGTGAAGTTTGCTCCGATTTGGTCAAAAATTTGGGAATCGTAGAAAATAAGAAAAAGAAGAAAAATGAAAATCATAAAAAAGTATACGCAATATAGAAATATGATAAGAAGTTTTTATTGGCTTGTACTGCTGAAATTATCTGATAAACTAAAATCGACCATATGAATTCAACTTGGAAACCTTATCTAAATTTTGGAGGCCAATTCTCCAAGCTTTGCACTCAGTGCGAATTGATGCCTCCAATCTTTGTCAAAGCATTGTCAAAAACTCTAAATTGAAGCCCCTGAACCACATTAGCAATTTGAGTTCAGATCTAGTCGATCCAAGCTTTGAAAGTTCTGGGTAAACAGTAAATCCGAAATACAAATCTCACAAATCTGAGATTTTTAGTGGTTTTTTGTAAGAGGCAAGTCTATGATTCGATGAAGAACCCATCATGCAGAAATGCGTGTACCTGGAAATTTGGGTTCGATCAGACACTTGGATGAGGACTTGAGTAGAAATGAGAAAAAGGAGGGGTTGGATGTTTGTCTCCTTTATACTTTTGAAATTTTTTCAAGCTTGCCAAGTTGCTACAGTGACCCACCCCGAGTACGGTAGCATTTCTATACTCCCCTGAGGTTGAGTCTGAGTGGACTTAGCTGAGTTTTCTAACCATACATAGATTAGTTTAGTGGTAAAGAAATTTGGAAGAATTAATCCGGGATTTCAATGACTCCAGACACTTCGGAAGTAGCTACCTGTAATCTCAATGTGAATTCTCTCTACATGAAGCACAAAGGCATGAGATCATGACCAGTGTCGGTAGGAAGTTGACCCTTAGATTGAGTGTACTTTGTGTCTTAGTGTGAGTTGTTTGCCAAGCACTGGAGGTGAAAACTGACAGGGCTATATGGGTTGGGCAGACAGATTGTTAGAAGCCATTTTTTATCAGCTTTCTTTCTCTCTCTATTTATTGCTTTCGGTAGGTTAGTTATGACAGATATCCTGATTTGGGGCTTTCGATGTTTCTTATTTTTTCACTCTTCTATGGAAAACCTACAAACAATCTGCAACATCTCCAAATCCTTTTCGGAGAGAACAAAAATCAATTGGTCCATAGTTTCTTTAGGATATGGGAACATTGGCTGGGCTTTGTCTGGCACAAAAAATCATCCACCATGAATGTGTCAGCGACAATAGCATTAATTGCTTTGGCTTGCATCTATTTTCTTTGTGGGAATTAAAAACTTAATGTTTGTATCGGCATTTATTAGACAGATGCTTATATTTGGTGTTATAACACTTTTATACATGGGAACAGCTGTCCGGTTGGATGCTTTTTGTTGCCATCAGGGTGGCAGTTTTGTTATATTAATGTTCTGGTTATTGTGCATAGCTACCTACTTTCAGCCACTTGGTTGAAACTTATCAAAGGCCCCAACTTGAAACAGTTGCCGAGCCTCTACCATCTCTGATCTTTATCATAATTCAAATCTTTTGTAAGCTTCTCTCCAACTCACCCCATTCTCGACTATGGTTTGGCTTAAACTTCTCAGAGCTGGAATTTGGTGAACTGTTTTTGCTCGTTTCTTAGATCTTACCTAATATCATGGAGGAAGAGCAACCTATGGTATAACAGACTATGCTGTTTACTTGAAATGAGATAGTTATGCTTCAGTCTCTCTCTATAATTTTACTCGAGATTTATGACAGTTACTTCCTTTCGTTGTGATACATTTATGTGCCATACAGATTACAGAACGCCACAATCTGCTACTCCATGAATAGGCCATATATCAATTCAGCAATTTAAAACTTTGACTCGTCCATGCCCCGAGCTGTGTCTCATCTATTTGATTCAGCTGAGTCTTAATAAGACCCCGCTGAGTGTCTTTCGAAAATTGAGGAATTGGTGAGTGTGTTGAGTTTTAGAAAATCTCGTAGAGCCACTGGTTGTATGGCCAAGTAAACTCGTAAATCATAGTGAGTCGGGGAAGTTTTAAACACTGCATTGGACGATTAAGAGGGTGATGTTTCAATATGTTATCAAAATGATTTGTCATTAACAAATGGTTGGATTCCTTTTGTGTGAACTTTTGAATCCCTTTTGTGTGAATTACCAAATGGCCATATGACCTGACTATATTATCAAAGGAGTTTCGAGAAATTTTATTTTTTATTAATGTTGATGCAATTTCTACAAAACATATTTTGATGGATGCGATATTGTGGAGTTGTATATCTTTGAACCTTTGATTCATCTTGAACTGCGCTGATACGCACTTAAATCATTCTCCTTTATCTTTTATATTTGATCTTGCATCATGCTCTATCTTCTTTCTGATTTTAATTTACTTGCGGTCAAGCAATATAATACACTAGATAACAAATGTGCGATTTTTGTCCTACAGTTTAGGGTGGCCTATGTTGCTCCAGAATCCCGAATTATTGGTACTGGTGATTTAGTTGATCACCCGAAAAAAATTGTTCTTCATTATCTTCGTGGCAAATTTTTAATTGATCTCTTTGTTGTGTTACCTCTTCCACAGGTAGGACTCTATTTTGTCTATTCAAGTATGCTCATGATATGATTTCTTTTCTATTTCTATAAAGTCGTGGGCTACTCCATTCATCGAGAAAATGTTATTGCATCCTTCATCATGATATTGAGTTTCTTGCAATGGATAGTGTTACATAATGTCAAGTTTGCGACACTGTTTAAGCTTATCAACTAATGGTATTCTTGATTTATAAAAGCATTGAGATCCCAAGAGGTTTTGTGCCTCGAGAATTACTTCATGCTAATGCTTCCTTGGTCAATAGAGAATAAGTTTCTATACAGTGTATAAGGTTCTAGACTTAGGTGATTGTTGTCCTGATCAGCATCGAGCACCTCATGATAGAACCTGAAATCATCTCGTTTTTAGAATTTCATGTATTTAAATTTTCTCCTATAATCCATGAGAAGGATTTCTATTGTTGCTTCACCTTCAAACTTGACGAAATATCATACTCTAGACAAATTTATGTCGTCTGATTGTGAAGAACAATCACACGAATATTTTTCAAGCTGCAAAGGCTGCTAAGTTTGCAATTGAATTTAGGGATGAAGTGATTGAAGCTTGCAATGTTTCTTTTGACAATCAGTCTGATGATCTGTCACGTAAATTTTTAAGAGGCAATTATCCTTTAAAAACATACAGGACTTATGTAGGAAAATTGTGCATACTTCTTATTTTCTTTCACAGATGAATGCAACTTATGCCAGGAATTCACGTAAAACTCAACAAAGATAATGTTTACGTTTCATGTGTATTGTACCGTGAATAGATTCAATATGATCATGTTTGTTGTCAGCAGTGGGTGCAACCATGTAACTGATCCTTGAAGGTGTGGCTATTGAGATACTCAATATAGTAAATTCAAAATTTTTTTCTTTTACTTTTATTTCAAATACCTGAATTCCACTTACATGGGTCACAATATGTTGCTGAAAAATTAAAATAATGCCTTAGATACAACCTAGGATCTTTATTTTTACTGTCAAGAGAAATAGAAACTTTCCCGGAACTTTAAACTAACTTCTACCATAATTTTTAGCATAACCTGAAAGTTTACAAAAAATAGACAATAATACTGATAATTAATTAAAACTATTGGGAAGACTTATTGGAAGATGCATGGAATTACAATACCAGGTTTTGGTACACCCCACACCTGATTCCCTAATCAATGACGCACTTTTACTCCCTTAGATGTTGCTGGAAATTCTAAGATAGGGAAGCTTTGTGAGTAATGCTTCTTTTTTTAGGATTTTTAGAGAGCTCAAAATCAACTAGGATTTATAAAACCCTATGGGAACAAATTAGGACTGAATTGTAAGTTGATCTTTCGATAGGCTGGGATTCTCCCTCCTTTCTTCAAACTTGCTCTAGGTTTCACTATAGCACCACCTCAAAAATATAGAGGAGAGAGAGTGGCGTGCCTCCCTGTGGGTCAAGAGATGGGGGCACACGACTTCAAATTTCTTTTGGAGAGAAGAAAATTTGGCATGGAGAAAAAAAGAGAGATATGATGGAGAGAAAAAAATGGGGCGTGAGAGAAAGGAATCTTTAAGGCATGAGAGAGAAATCTCTTGTAATGAGAGAGGGGGCTGAAATCTTGTTTAAATAAAAACAAGATCTTATTCCTACTTTAAATAGGATTCCAATCCAAGTATGCCTTATTCAATTTCCAGCTAGGCCTTTAGGATAATTATGTAATTTGTGGGGTAAGAGATTTAATCAAAGCCATCCATCCCGCAAATCAGCCATCATAATTTTGGGTGAAAAGATAAGAATCAGCATCATAATTTTGGGCGGAAAGAATAAGAATCTTATTCTCGACCCCAGTCTAACTCCTATTTAAAATTAAAATATAATCAATCTTATCACAATCTAGATCTCCATAAGGAAGATTTGAATTTTGAATAACTCCTACTAGAATTCAAATTTTATTTAAAATTAAACCATTTCCTATCTTATCTTTAACTAATTTAAATTTTAAACATATAAAGTTTGAAACAACAAAAAATGGGGCATGCCCCCTTTTACCTAAAAACATGGCGTGCAGGCTTTTATTCCTTAAAAAGTGCGTGCTGCCAAATAAAATTTAAACAAATCTTTTTAAGAAAGTGGGGCATGCCCCCTTTCTCCCCCAAAACAGTGGCGTCCCCCCGTTATGTATAAAAAGTGGCGTGCCACCCTTGGAGCTCAAGTGGGCCCTACATGGGTGGCACACATGTGGGGGCTGGATCTTTGATCCCACATGTAGTAAATCAAGTTATGAAAAATTTCAGAAATACGCTTTTAATGAAAATACAAAAGAAATAATATTTAAAAATTCTGAAATAATATTTAAAAATCATAGAAACATTCTTAATACTAAAATAAAATATACTAGGAGTGGACTGGTACCAATAGGTCAAAATTAACAACAATAAAGGCACTCCACTCGCCCCAGTAACCAAGATCCAGTAGTGTTTGCTTATCAAACACAGCAAAGGTTCATGACCCATAGTCTCAAAGCAGGGGCTCATGATTGGCTTGTCAAAATTAAATAATAAACAGTTGAACTATGATCCTGGATTATGGATTTCAGTTCCCTCCTTTAAAAGCAAGTTTAGCACTTGTCACCACAGTACAAAACGACTCTCTCTATGCACATGTACACATGTCTCTCTTTAGGGCTGCTTTTCAGTATTGCTGCTGTCATGTGTACATGTCGTACAGAAGTTTGTTGAGGCTTTGGTCCTTGCTCTCACAGGCCTATAACTGCACACAGAAGACCACACAGTTCTCCTGGCCTATAAACATCATCCCTAGGCATCTTTCCTACCTCAACAAAAGATGATCCATTGCAAACCCTTTTCGGTAGGGCCCCATGCCAAGGGGTAAGGGTTTTAGATATGACCAGGGTCATAGACCTCCCAACCTTTGCTCAGTCAACTCATACACTTCCACTCAAGTGTATATTCCACTATAAATATCATTTTTACAAGCTCTCTAGGCCTTTAAAGGTCATAAAACCCAACGATCATCTCTACTTCAGTTTTATTTCTTGCTTGCATTTCATATCCTCTTAGTTGATAATTGCAAAGAATTCTTCTCAAAGCAGTTAATCAAGTAGCACACTGTTCACTTGTCATACTATTTTTGCGCAATTGAGGGAAGCAGTTTGCCCAAGTCTATTTTTTTGTAATTAAGCATCTGTTTGTAATTGTATTTATAAGATGTCCAAAAAACTCTTGAAAAAGAATATTTCAGTCTTTTGTACTCATGAATATTTCAGTCTTTTGTACTCATTATTCTATTTATGAGAGAGCTATTCCCTCTTTTCCAATTAATGAGACTAAGCTTTTCTCTCAATATGTTGCGCTATAACATATTTCTAGTGCATGGATATTTTCATATTTTTTTTAGAAGATCGAGTCACTTTAAATTCTATCATGGGACATTTAGATGTGCACTTATTTTCCATGAATTGTATTGATGAGATTCTCGATTGTTTCTCCCCATGGGTCAGCATGTGAACCACATGATTTCATGTCCACCTAAACTTCTTTTTTCCATGTAGTATATGAAATACTAACTGTTCCTGATTGAAATTAATAATTAACCGTTCATCTCTAATAGGTTGTACTTAATTCTGCAGATCATGATTCTGGTTGTGTTGCCTAAGTATATAGGATCCTCGGCTGCTAATTATGCAAAAAATCTGTTACGAGCCACTGTTCTTCTCCAGTATATCCCAAGAATGTGTAGATTTCTTCCATTGCTTGTTGGTCGATCTGAAACTGGGTTCATATTTGAGTCAGCATGGGCAAATTTTGTCATTAACCTTCTCATTTTTGTCCTGGCGGGGCATGTGGTGGGTTCCTGCTGGTATCTCCTGGGCTTGCAGGTTAGTGAAGCATCCAACATACAGAACAAGTCAGCAGTCCCTAGTTTCCTTATTATTTTGTCACAATATTCTGTGTTTCATAAAGCATATACCGTACATCTGGATTCAGAACTGTTAATTTACACTGATATAAAATTATTCTTTGCTCTCATTGAACTTAGACCCTAATGTGAGTACAAGCACAGTAGTGATAATCAATTGAGTGACAATGAGATTTAATATATAAATGAAGTCTCATTAATTGTTATCCGTTTATAATCTGTTGTCGGTCATTGATTTCCCAACTCCAAGGAGTATGGACTGAAACCTTATCATTGATTGATGAATTGTTGGTTTCACCTGTTTACAATATTTAGCCTGACATTAATCTTCAGAAGTTTTGAAAATATTTTGTTTAATACATTTTACTACTAAATGACAAAATGCTTACTTGTTATTAATGATCCATGAGCATAGTAACTTGGAAAATTTCTTGTGCTGCCCTTGGGCTTTACATGAGCAAAAAGCAAGTTCGAATCAAAATGAATCATGTTCATTTCATGGAAATCTTTAAGGTAAGTTTAAAACCTTAGTCCCATCATGCAATGATTTATCATTATCATCATCCAGGCCTTATCCCAATTATATGCAATGATATATATCTAAAAATATTCCTTGATGGAATAAACACCATTTCCAAAACCATATCTAGAACATTTGATGGCTCCTGACGGTTGCATATTCAACGTCAAATAAGCATTTTGCCTTATCACGTAATGATAATGGAAAAGGAAAGGAGTTAAAAATTTCTCTGGTGTGCATTCAAGATACTTTGGCAAGTCACTGTTAGTATTCATATAAACTGGAATATTGAGTAACAAGTATAAAATAATAGTCCAGATGGTTTGATGCCTCAAATGGTGAGAATTTTGTGGGAAACCCCTCAATGCAAATTTTGCTAGAAAAGAATGAGGACATTGGTGAAAATCAATATTTTTCAGAAGGATCGTATCTTATTACAACCTTCACCTACAACTGTTGTGACTTGATATCCCAATGAACAAATGTGGTAAAAAATTGACGGACTAATATTAATGGTTTTCCAAAGGAATATGGAAATAATTAAAGAAATAAGCCTATATACTAGATGTGGGTTTACAGAGGTGCTACTCAGATTTGTTCCTATAATGCCCATGCCTAAATGCCTTAGATTCATAAAAAAATATTTCTTTTATGTGATATTGTAGATTTGTTTATACAGTCATCTGAAAGTAATTTTTGTTTATACAATCATTTGAAAATAATTGAGCTTTCCTTAGAAAAATGAAAGTTGTGGCCATGTAGAATTCCAAAGTATAAATTAATTTTTCTTTACTAATAATTGAAATTTTTGCTTACAATTGCCAATATACAATGCAGAAACAAACCTATTACTGTTTAGGATCTTTGAACCATCATCATCAGAGCCTGTTTCTAAATGTTTGGGGTTGGCTACACGAATCCTGGTCCGCCATTCTACTCTATCAAAGGGCGATACCTTCAGTGAGGCCACAAGTTCCCATACATATTCTCACTACTTCCAACCATGTCCTTTTGAGCCTACCCCTCGCTTTTTTGAGTCTTCCACTTGAATAAAACTTTGAATTCAAGAACTGAATTCAAACTTACAACTAGGAATCCAAAATAAACGTGAATCAAGAACTGAAAATAAAATGAATAAACAAAATTGGGAAGAGTTATTGAACCCTTGCCTAGGTTACCCCCTTAGGATTTAACATATACACCTGATTACCAAACCAATGGCGCACTTGATCTTTAGGTTTTGTTGAATCCACTGAGCTGAGAAGTACCTCTGCAATATCCTTATCACAAACTATGGGGTTGAGAGCATGGGCTGCAACAATTAGGGTTTTTATAGGCCTTTTCTAAACTTTGGGACAATGCCACTATGTACAACCTCTCATAACCAAGCCTAGGGTTGGGTGTGCTCCCTTTCTTTTTGTTTCCTAGGTGGTGCGTCCCACCTCTAGGTATCTATGGGGTGGTGTGTGCCACTCAAGAGAGAGAGAGAGAGAGAGAGAGAGAGAGGAGAGAGAGAGAGAGAGTAGTGGTGCGTAGAAGTAAGGTACCGGGGTACCCGTTCCCTTACCTTACTACTAGTCGTCCTACGAACCGGTACCGTTAGTTACTTACCTACGTTAGTAGTTAGTACTTACGTTA